TCGTGATCCGCCCGCCTCCGCCTCCCAAAGTGCTGGGATTACAGGCGTGAGCCACCGCGCCCGGCCTGCCTGTATGTCTTCTTTGGTAGGGTGGTGTTCTTTGGTAGACCTGTCTGTTTAGGTCTTTTGCCCATTTTTAAGTCAGGTTGTTGATTTTCTTATTGTTGAGTTTTGAGGGTTCTTTGTATATTTTGGCAATTAGTTCTTTTTCAGATATGTCTTTTACAAATATTTTCTCTCGTTCTGTAGTTTATCTTCTCATTCTCTTGACAGTTTCTTTTGCAGAGCAGACATTTTTAATTTTAATAAGGTCCAGGTTTTTAGCTGTGTCTTTCATAGATCGTGCCTTTGGTGGTGTATTTAAAAGGTCATTGCTTTTAAGAGGTCATCTCAATTTTCTACTATGTTAACTTGTAGGAATTTTATAGTTTTGTATTTGACAGTTAGGTTTATGATCCATTTCAAGTTAATTTTTGTGCAAGGTGCAAGGTCTGTGTCTAGATTTCATTTTTTTCCCAAGTGCATGCCAGTTGTTCCAGCACCATTTCTTGAAAAAACTGTCTTTCTTTTTTTTTCTACTGACACTTGTTCCAATTTAAAAAAAAAAAAAAGAAAAGAAAAAAAAGACTGTATTTTTTTTTCCATTTAAAGCCTTTGCTCCTTTGTCAAAGTTCAGTTGACTCTATTTATGTGGGTCTATTTCTAGTCTTGCTGTTCTGTTCCATTGATCTATTTGTCTTGGCTGGTTTTTTTAAGAAGAAATTGTTATATAGAAGAGAAATGAAAAAGAGACCAAATAGATTATAGATAAATTATTCTCATTTTAGATGCTTTAAAAAAGTCCACAATACAACAGAGGCACTGAATGAAGTTTAGCATAATGATAATACTAGTAAAATTATTTGAAAATGTCTCAGCCGGGCATGGTGGCTCACACCTGTAATCCCAACACTTTGGGAGGCCGAGGTGGGCGGATCACCTGAGGTCCAGAGTTTAAGACTAGCCTGGCCAACATGGTGAAACCCCATCTCTCCTAAAATATAAAAGATTAGCCGGGCATGGCGGTGTGTGCCTGTAGTCCCAGCTACTCGGGAGGCTGAGGCAGGAGAATCATTTGAACCCAGGAGGTGGAGGTTGCTGTGAACTGAGATCACACCACTGCACTATAGCCTGGGCAACAGAGCGAGGCTCCATCTCAAAAAAATAAAAAGAGAGAGAGCGAGAGAGAAAGAAAGAGAGAGAGAGAGAGAAAGAGGAAGGAAGGAAAGAAGGAAGGAAGGAAAAGAAAGGAAGGAAAGAAAAAGAAAGGAAAGAGAAACAAAGGAAAGAAAAAGGAAAGATAAAGAGAAGGAAGGAAAGAAAGAAAGGAAAGAAAAAGAAAGAAATAAAGGAAAAGAAAGGAAAGAAGGAAGGAAGAAAGAAAGAAAGAAAAGAGAAAGAGAGAGAGAAAAAGAAAGAAAAAGAAAGAAAGAAAGAAAGAAAAGAAAGAAAAGAGGAAAATGTTTCTTTCAGTGCCACATAGATTCCAGAAAAGAATTGACCCTTTCCTTAAATAACATATATCTTTGCTTTGTGTATGTACTCTCTTCTTCCCTTAAGATATAGTAACCTCTGAATGTCAGTTGTTTTACACATGAAGATAAACTAACATTCTGTGGAGGCAGAAACTCTATCTTATGTTGATTTTGCATTAGTTAGTAAATATGTAAACAAAACAATCTGAGTGTATAGTGAAATTCTAAGATACAAACCTGACATATACCTCAAATCTTCATTTACTTGGAGCATAATGGTGGGAACAATAACAAATATGTGGACTTACAGTGTCAAATAACAATGTTATTTAGGTTCTATGAAAATGGTTAGTTGGTTGATTGGTTGGTTGGATAATAAAGTGAGGGAGTGAATGGTTAAGTAATAAATACTCTGCCTTGTTCTAAAAAGGATTTAAGCCGGGCATGGTGGCTCAAGCCTGTAGTCCCAGCACTTTGGGAGGCCGAGGTGGGTGGATCACTTGAGGTCAGGAGTTCGAGACTAGCCTGGCCAGCATGGTGAAACCCCGTCTCTACTAAAAA